TGCATTCTTTATTCGGGAGGTTTTTCTGAATTGGGGCCTGTGAAATTACATGCAGTTGGGGGTCATTAAGTTTTACTTTTGTGTATATATGGTACAGCACACCTGAATTACTTAATAATTTGAGGATTTTCTTCTAGGCATTAGTAATATCTTGAGCTAAATCCCCCTTCCCAGAGAAGTGTTCCTAAAACAGACTATGGAAAATCTTTCCCCACTAAAATAAATCTAAACAACAATCATGAATCTAACCAGGTGTATGCTAAACTTCACTTATTCACTCACACAGGCTTTCAGTCACTCTTCCTTCTCCTGTATTTTCACACACAAAACTACTACATACTTCACACGAGGAGTGTGATTTTTGTTTAATTCACAATAAGAGTGTGATCCTCCTCTGATGTAAACTGGCATAGCTCCATAAAAAGTTAATACAGCTACTCTGATTTACACAAATTGGGGATCTGACTAAAATGTCTTGGAATTTGCTGTTTGACAGCTATACATTACAGAATATGAATAGCTCTAGGAAAATATTGTCAGCCAGGTTCTCAACTATTGTAAATTGTCTTCAGTGGAGCTGCCCTGGTTTACAACAGCTGAGGATCTGACCTTTAATATTTTGGTCAATCTCACATTAAAAAAACACATTATTTTTAATAAATGCAGAAAAAACACATGAAAAGACCTTTTCTTGGACTTTTTATAAGGCCATAGAAGGAAATTTGAAAAACATATAACCTCAGCACATACAAACTTTTTTAAAAGTTGGATAAATGCTACCAGGCAGGAAAATTATGAAGAAAATCATTTTTGAAAATCATTTGCAACATAAAAACACAGCTAAAATAAAAATATTCAGATGTTTCTAACCACAGAAATCATTCTAATCACAGTCATCATAAGCCCTGATAGTAATGGTTTGCTGCCAGGAGTAACATTTTATCGACAAAAGTTAATAGACTAAACATTACTTCGCAAACACCTTTTTTAACCAGCTAAGGTCTATTTCCCCAAACCAACAGACTGAAGGTGCACCAGAAACTGTTATATAATACTGAAATGTAATCCAGTAATTTCATGCTCTGCATCTGTAAATCTTCCAGTTCTTTGTGCTAAATTCATTTAGACTTTTTAAAATCAAAATTATTGGGTAACTAATGTAAACTGGAACTTCCTGAGCCATTATTTTCAGTTCCCCAGTTACTAAAAGCCAACACTAGTTTTATTGGTTAATTATAAGTGGCAGGTCACTTACAGAACAGCAAATGTTTTACAAGCCAGTTATGGGTGAGGTACAATAAATACAATGTATTCATTTGTAGTCCTTAACCCATCAAAAGTGTTGGTACTTTCTTGCAAAGAATGGCACATGATTTTAAAATCACACATGCTTACATTACAATAACAAAATTTATGAGTAGTTCTCTTGTCAAGGCGAGTTTATTTACTGCCATATATCTTCCACCATGACACAGTAAGATACATGTGTAAATACAAAATATAAAGGAGACAAAACAACACAAAGTATTGACCCATACAGACTGTAAGTAGAAACTTGGATTTTACCAGATATTTATATTTGTATTCAGCATAGATTACAATTTTGCTGAATTTTCACATAGGAGGCCAGATTATTCTGTCATTTACACCAGAGCAATCTCATTGAGGCCACTGGAGTTACACTGTTACAACAAGGGATAATTTGGCCCATTAATGATAAAAATGGATTTCACCTCATTTTGTAGGTACATTGGAGAGAGAGAGGCCCAAATCCTGTTCAGTTTACTCAAACGGATTTCAACAGGATTTTTCATATAAGTAAGGCAAACAGGTTTGGACTCACAGAGATTGCTAAGCAAACTGACTAAATCAGAGATCTATATTTAACGTTATGCTGCAGCTGTTTTTCATTTGCATCTCATTGGAATCAATCATGTGGTCATACCCATTTAGTAGCGTAGAGGCAAATTCCTCCTGGATGTACCTGAATGGTTTGAGACCAGCCAAGGAGTTAGTAGACTTGCTACCTTGGAGTGGGGGGGGGGGGCAAATTAATCTGTATTTCTAGGGATCTGAAAAAAGCTCACTACTGGAGTATAGGCTCAGTCTCCAAAGGAAGGCAGCATAAATAATTTGGCCACTTACGGTATGTCTTCACTGCTGAGTTATCCTAAACTAGCCTAGTCTGGGTGGAGTCTCACTACTACAAAGCCCTACCTTGGCCAGACCTGTGTGGCTGCATTCACAATGCTTCTGTACTAGCTCGTGTGCTAGGATGGATCTCTAGCAGGATATTTCATGATTCTTAGTCATGCATTAAACTGAGCCACTCTCTGAATTCTTTGCAGTGTATTGTGGGAGAATGTCTGTCCTTGCAGGATTTCTGTGTGGAAATGCTCCAGGGGGTACTCCACAACTTTACCAGAAGGCTGGTGTCAGCTTCTGGCCAACTGGCAGCACAGGAAAGAGATTTCTTGGAGGACATTTGTTCAAATGCTGTGGAAGTACAGAAGAAATGGAGCAGCCAAAACTTAGGGCTAAAACACAATGCAGAAGAAGGGAGGAGTTAGACAAGAAAATAAAGCCCAGGTGGAATTGTGGGATAGGACTGGAGGATCAACAGCACTGCAAGTAGGTGGATTGCTAGCCCGGGCTGAAGTGAAACCTATGCTCATCTTATACCCACAGCCTTGTCTGCTAGCGGGGGTGCAATGCAGAGAATATTTTGTGTGGAGGGGCAACACACAATCTATAGCCAAGACTAATTCTGCAATGAAGACATACCTGTGCTGTGCGGTGTAGAGGTGGAGGCTAGAACAATGACAATACTTAACACAGCTAATAAGTATGCTAACTTTAAACAGTTTGAAGCTTCTCCATCAGTACGATCATATTGTACAGGTAATAGAAGCAACAACAGAGATAGCTATGTTTCCTTCTAATTTAGATGTATTGGATCTCACTGTTCATGAAGGACTCTCCTTAACATCCAGTAACATTCATCAGCTTTTTCTTTTTTGAATTCCCATGCTTCTTCATGTTTGAATCTTGAATCACTACTATTTGTTCCAAAGTCAGTAATTCTTTTGCCTTGGCCCTAACTGGTCTCCAATATCATAAAAATGAAATAAATACCCCTAAAAATGAAGTACTTGTAGAGACTGTTTTTGTTTTGTTTTACACTTCCAGAAGAAATTTGCTCTTTCTGGCTGATGTTACATAGAGAAACAACAAAATAAATCTCCAGCATGGAAAGCATTTGCTTAGAATAGTGGTGTGCAAACTTTTCCAGTTGCTCCTGCACCCCCATACCATTCACGAAATTTGTCGCACCCTCCCTCCATTACTTGTAATCTGAAAAAATATATATATTTTTTTGCAAGTTGGTGGAAGGAATGAAAAATGTATATTTATTACTAAATTTATAAGACTAGGTAAAGGTTATTAGGAAGTAGTAAACACAAAGGATTACAAACTGCAAACATACACATAAACAGTTCACTTGATACTGACTCTCTGAGGTCTGGTCTACACTAGGGGGGTGGGGTCGATCTAAGTTACACAACTTCAGCTACGTGAATAACGTAGCTGAAGTCGATGTACTTGGATCGACTTACTGCAGTGTCTTCACTGTGTTGAGTCAACTGCTGCAACTTCCCCGTCGACTCTGCTTGTGCCTCTCGCCGAGCTGGAGTACAGGAGTCGACGAGAGAGCGCTTGGGGATTGATTTATCTCGTCTAGACTAGGCGTGATAAATCAACCCCCGCTGGATCGATCGCTGTCCGTCGATCCAGCGGGTAGTGAAGACATACCCCAAGAGTCTTTGCTTGGCACTTTCTATGGCATTATAATTTGTGCATTGCTGAGTAGATTGTGCATGCACCAGACTTGAAGGTCGCACTGGATGGTGGAGGGGAAACAGAGATGAGGCTATTCATTCCTTTGGTTTAGTGTTAGAGCATCTGATTCACTTGAGGGGTCCTGGGTTCTCAACTATTATAATATAAATTGCCGGTTTCGGTCTTTTAATATCAATTATTAATCATTAAATGAGTTTTAAAATTAATGAGAATCAAAATTCATTTTAAAGGCATCATAGGCCTACTGTAGTTATGAAACTTACCAAATTGTTGAAAAGAACCCAGCCTGCACTTTTATTTGTCTGTTTGTTTTTTAAAAGGTCAAAAGGCTGAAGTTTCTCTCCCCCCTCCCCTAAATGCTTTGTACCAACTGAATATGTTATTCACGTAGCTGAAGTTGCGGATCTTAGTTCGAACTGGGGGGTTAGTGTGGACCAGCCCTAAGTGAGGCTCTATTTGGGGAGTTTTCTACAGATCATCCTAGCATGGGGGCAGGATTTGTGGCCGTCCAAAGCTGCAGATTTCTCAGCACTTGAGAGATTTCACTGTGGGTCTTAGACATGTGCATAGAAGCCCAGTTCCACCCTTCTGAAAGCTCACTTGTGATAGACTAACAAACAGAGTAAGGTCAAAACTTTAAAAATAAAATGCAAATCAATGTCATCAAACCTATATTAAATTGGTCCTTGACAGTTAACACACAAATTATCATAATTTCGCAGATGGCATATTTATAAAACAAGAAAGAAAAACCGAGAAATCTGTCTTTCCAGTTTTCTCTGAGCTGACATGCAATTTCTAATGGCATGTTTTCTCCCTTTCAGATCTGTCTCAACCAGATTTCCCCTCACACATATGCCCTACACCATCTTTTTCTAAGTACATACTTACTATATTGTACCAAATCGATTAAAAATACATGTTCCAAACAAAAAACCAAAGTATTAATGTAGATGAGAAAAATAAATGTGCCAGATCTGCAGCTGTTCAAATTGTCACAGCTCCCTCGATGACTTTCAAAGGAACTGTGCTGATTTCCACCAACTGAGGATCTGGCCAAAAGCATTTAAGTATAAAAAGGGAAAATATAATAACCATGTTACATAATCTCTACATTACATCACAAATCTTTAGGACACTGTTGTGGTGGGAAGATGGAAGTATAAGCTCTGGTGTATTAAAATGATTTTCACTTCCACAATTGCAATTTGAATATGACTTAATAAAGTGCTTCCACACAACTTTGCAAAGCAAGGAGACCGCATATTCTTACCTGAATTTTTATTGGTTTTGTTTTGCCTACTCTTTACTTGCTCAGTCCATAATGTAGGGTAACGAGAAGCTATATCTAAAAAAATCAAGCATGACAAAATTTACGTTATTATAATTTAATAAACTAAAACAATCTGTAGCAAACAAACACTAAGTGGTCAATGAACAAGATAAGGCTGACAACATATTATGGTACATGTCTAACAAAGAAAAGGGCACATTGCAACACTTTAGAACAGCTACATTCATGCATATAGCAGCAGTGAAAAAATATGATACAAACTGGCACCTATGTTTTAATATCTTCAAACCAGATTCTGCCATCCTTATGCACAATGAGTAATAACTGACTTTGAGTGTAGGCCCAGTACAGTAAAATAGGGCTGATGTGGCATGTAGGCATTGTGTTGGCCTTCTGCATAGGGCTGAATATCACCCAATGTGAGGAAGTGTGGCAGAATATGGACCTTACCCTGTTGTCAGAGGGGATGTATAGGGCATAACGAGAGCAGAATTTGGACTTTAACATTTGAATTTGGCCCTTTGCGCTTTACAATTAACAGCTCAAGTTTGAAATTGCAGCATCTTCACTCTGAAAAATGACTGTGAACATGGCATTCTGGGATTCCATAGTTATTGTGTCTCTGGGACGTCCCCATGAAATTTGCTCACTTTAAAAGTAAGATTGCTGTACTCTGGCTGTCCCACTTGGAAACAGGTATGGCAGCTTTCAGCCTCTTGGCAAATCACCAAAAGTGTGCTAAATCCTGTAATGTTTGGGGGCCCTTTCTCTAAGGTAGCAGTTATGCTACAGTATATGGTATATAATGTGTCATTCTGGCATGACTCTGTTACCATTCCTGAAGATGCTTACCTTCCTCATCACCTTGAGGCTGAGTCTCCAGCGCGGGAGCTGAGGCATCATCTGAATTCAGAATGGAAAAGATTTGCAAGGAGACTACAATTATGAGAGTAAACTAAATAAGTGTACATACATGGTTAATGCTAATGATTTGCACATAGCCCCGGCCGGTTAACAAACAACATAAGTATTATATGACACATATAAACTACAGATTATAAATCTATGGCATTTAAGGTAACTGTTTATGTATATGAATGAACTGAGTGCAAGATTTTTGAGACATCAGTCAGTGAGTCGTACACTGCCAGGGATTAAAAAAAAAATACTATGCATTGATTCCTATAGAACATAATTAATTAAACAAATATTTTCAAGAGAAGAAATTGATATAGACATAGAAAAGGTAAGCCCTGTGAAAGCAAAAGCAATCTGGGCAAATGAGTGGATGTAGTCCTTCTACCGCCTAAAACAAAACCAGGGGTTCTTTTGACCCAGCAAAATTCATTTTGATACGCCAACTCTTTTCAACAACAAGATCCTTAGTTTCAAGAAACAGATAATCATTTGCATTGCTCTCATCCTTCAGTCAGTCATCCCCATCCCCTACAACCAACCGCCACTGCAAGAGAAGAGGGAGTAAAATGCACCAGAAAGAATACAGTAAGGATAAGGATAAATCTTCAACTTATTCAAAAGCATTGCAAGAAATATATGTAACTAGAAAATCTCACTATAAAAAATAGTTCAAATGAGCAAGCTTTGGGAAACAGTAGTACATATTTTCAATCCAAAGACCAATTTTTAGCTATTTGAAGGGGTGAGCTGTTTATATGTTTTAATACGCTGAATGAGCCACAGTATGCAATATAACTTAATAGTCCGTATCAGCCAGTTGCTGACACTTCTTGTGAAGCAGAACTACCTCCAACATTATGGTGCCTCACCAGAAACAATATCCTCTGTGCAGGCATTTGGCTACAATTCCTAGAAGTCACCACTTCTGGGTCGCAATCTTGTTTCCAGATTGTTTACCCAATATTTTGCATAGAGGCTATAACAGAATATAGCTTTTTCATGTACCTATTTTTACTAGGATGATTTCAGGCAACAGTGAAAATGGACTATACCATCCACTTCCTTGCCATGGCAATTCAATAGCTGCCTCTTCCTGCTCCCTTGTCCCCACTACACAGGCTGGCGCTCTGTTGCCTTTACGTAGATCATGCAAGGGAGTGAGAAATAATCTGTCCCTTCTCAATACGAGGCCACAATTTACTCCTCAGGAACATAATACTGCTGAGAAGTACTAGATGGATAGCCATGCTATCCTAAAGTCCTCTCTCTGCAGAACAGGTAAAGCACAGCAGCAACAGTGGAAGTTTCCCAACCAATATACTTCAACCTAAACTTGTGGGGGACTTCCTCTCTAGATGAGCAAGTCATTCATTCTCCAAATCCATTTAATATTTGGCCACTATGTTGATATGGAGGACAAGAGTGCACATTACTGTCAGTTTCACCAGTGTTTTTTGTAATACTCTCTGGAAAGTGGACTGAAGCCACCAACTCATTTCAGGCAGGACACCAAACACATGTAATTACATATGATTTCAATACTTACTATCAGATTGTCAACCACTATCTGATTCAGAAAAATATCCAGGTTTTGGAGGGAAGGGGGGCGAATAATAAATAATACAAAAAAATTAATTTGATTTGATTATATTTTCTAATTGTATTCCACCATACACTTTCACTAGATGGGGCATTTGTTCTTGGAAGTGATATTGCCTAAATTCAGCTATATTACTGGACACCTTACAGACCAGCAGCCCAGTGAAAAATATTCTAGGGGCAGCATTGTTCCATTAATGAATATCTTTGTTCAAGCGGCATCTAACATTAGTCCAGGACAATATTTTTTTAAAGGAGCTAAGGTGCCAAAAAGGCCTTGTCCAAACATTGGCATAGGGTTGGGAAGAGAGAGAACTTGTTGCTGGTGATTAATGAATCAGGTCTTTGATTTAAGGCTATCCATATAATCTGTAAAAGATTAGCTCTCCACAGAACTGGGGGCAGTCAATAGGCACACCTGAGGCATACCTAACTTGAAGGGAAGAATCCCATTGGGACACCAGTAATTTCCTGTTTTTGCTCTTTCAGATCCACCTGCTTTTGAAAAAACATTTAGTGTTTGGAATGAAGATATGCAGAATTCATTCTTCAGAATAAGAACCAATATGGCATCATCACTATATAAATTCAGAGCAGTTCTAATTTAACTGGTTTACTAAATTCACAATATTTCATGCAGATCACACTGAATGTGTATGTTTAAACACAGCTCTGGTACTCAAATCTCACTTATTCAAAACATTGCCATGCCCCCGGCTAAAATCAGAGGAAGAGGATATGGCCTTGATTCAGATAACACTGGTCTACAATTTTTGAGAAGTAGTCTGCTTCAGAGATAAAATGTGCTATTTATTATGTATTTTGATGTGCTGAATTCAAATATGACAATTAAAACAACTGATTGGCTACTGTTTCTAAGATATTTAAGTTTTTACATTTGATGTCTATGTATATTGTGTAGATAGTAGAGTTTTAATCATAAATTGTAAACCTAGGTCTTTTCATGTGTTTATGGTTGCTTTACATGGTAATATTTCACCTGTCCTGTTTATGTAAAAATCAGCAAAAGGGTTATATAGATAAAATTTATTATGAAACAAAAAGGCAAAAAAACTATTATGTACATAGTTTAGTCCTATTCAGTGTCTACTCGGCGCTTCTTGGCTTGTCTCTTGTATTCATTAAATGGAGCATCTCTTGTCACTGTCCAGCAATAGTCTGCAAGCATTGATGGGCTCCATTTGCCCTGATAGCGTTTCTCCATTGTTGCAATGTCCTGGTGAAATCACTCGCCGTGCTCGTCGCTCACTGCTCCACAGTTCGGTGTCATAGGTTTCCTTCATATGGACTGCATGACCAACTGGAATTGATGGCAAAACATTGCCATTGTGCAGTAAAACAGCTTTAAGACTCGTCTTCGATGAATCAATGAACAGTCTCCACTCATCTGGATCGTGAACGATGTTGAGGGCTGCCATCAAACCATCGATGTTGTTGCAGGCTACAAGATCACCTTCCATGAAGAAGAATGGGACAAGATCCTTTTGACGGTCACAGAACATGGAAACCCTAACATCACCTGCCAGGAGATTCCACTGCTGTAGTCTGGAGCTCAACAGCTCTGCCTTACTCTTGGGTAGTTCCAAATCCCTGACAAGGTCATTCAGTTCACCTTGTGTTATGAGGTGTGGTTCAGAGGAGGAGGATGGGAGAAAATGTGGGTCCTGTGACATTGATGGTTCAGGACCAGAAGTTTCATCCTCTTCCTCTTCCTCGTCTGACTCAAGTGAGAATGATTCTGGTGCATCAGGAACCGGCAGTCCTTCTCCGTGGGGTACTGGGCATATAGCTGATGGAATGTTTGGATTATGCACAGTCCACTTTTTCTTCTTTGACACACCTTTCCCAACTGGAGGCACCATGCAGAAGTAAGAATTGCTGGTATGATCTGTTGGCTCTCTCCAAATCATTGGCACTGCAAAAGGCATAGATTTCCTTTTCCTGTTCAATACCAGCTTCAGATTGCATCATTCATTGTTTTGCCTAAAAAGCAAGTACTGTCCAAACCCAGTCATAGATTTATTCATAGATCCAGTCAAAGATGTATT